GGAGGGTAATGCTCAGAACAAATTGTGTTTGCAAGGAAGAATTTTTCATGAACTTAATGTACACAGTAACTATGATTTGTATGAAGAGACATCTTTTAAAGTTCTAAAACTACCAATGATTTGATTGGAAGTTTGGAGTAGGGTAACTAGTAAATGGCATATTGTTATAATTTGGGAAATTGTCAACATAGACTCAGCATTGCTGGTAATCAATTCTGCTTAGGACTAAAATATACAATTGACTTTTTGTTTACGGATATGATGCTTATATATACAGGGGTGTATATATATATATATATATATATATATATATATATATATATATATATATTCTTTTGAGGTTTAATGGATTTCACAGATAATATAGACAACTGCAAAAAATCGATCCAAGGGAACAGTTGCAAAGAAATCAATTGGCTGCTACTGGTATGCATTCCATAACAAAATATGTTAAATTTGTATTAAAAAATCAATAACACAGTGTATATATATATATATATATATATATATATATATATATATATATATATATACACACAAAACTTGAGAAAATTTGTTTTACAGTTTAATTTGATATTAAATCATAATGCATTTTCAAGTTGTTGTTATCATACATTTTTTGTCAAGCATGTTAAATATGTTGGGGAATGTTATTTTATTTTGGATTTGATTAAATAAAAGAGAGTAGCTGTGATAACCATGCAGTCATTCTGGTTATTTCTTGGGCTCATTTTCACCACAACAAAAGTAATGTGACAGTGACAAACTAAAAAAAGTTAAGCCCATAGACTTCACTACCTTTTTTTATTCATCTCCTTCAGTGTCTTCTACATTGCACACCTCTCCAAGCTTTCTTCTTCCAAAACTAACTCTATCCATATGAATATCATTCTTAAATACTGTAATTTTTATGCCCACACATAGTATATCACCATTACTATCTTTTTACTATTATGCTTTTTTGAAACACTTGTCCCATTATTTTGTGATGCTAGGAGTTTGTTGCACCTAAATTATTCCAGCACTATGCAATATATCTTTAAAAAGAAACATATTTATATTTAAATCTTTGGGATCAAGCTATTATAATAAAAAGGTTTTATTTAATGAATTTTAAAAACCAACATGCTTGAAATCTAGTTTTCTCAAATCTACTTTTTCTTCATTTATCTATCCTACACTTGCATCTTGGATGCACTTTGGAACCTTATAAGTAATGGTGATACTTCCATTGATAAAATATCAAAGCTTATTTACACTTTACATAACCATCACCTTTTTTGTTTAACTGTAGTGCAACAAGTCTTGAACAGCATAAACAACAGTAATACATATACAGTGACAGCTCTTCCTTAACAGATTCTTTAAATATCTTTTCAAAACATCCACGCAAGTGGTATTAAATACCATTTAAAACAAAAAATATACATACACCTAAACAGTTAATCCCAAAACATTGATAATAATCCCAATATAATAAGTTTGATCAAACAAGCATGACATCCACTGATTTAAGTATCATGTAAAAAAATCATTATGCCACAATCATAAAAGTAGTAGCTTTGTTTGAAAGGATCAACAAACTACTTTCATATTATGAGTGCTTACAGCATTTTGCACACTGTCAAGACAAAAGTAAGGTAATTTAATAAGTGATCCCTACTACACTGTAGTACATATACATCATCAGGCAGTTATATTAACTTAAAGTGTTGGGTAACATATAAGATGATTATTAAGGGGAAATGTAATCAACCGCTCCCTGTTGCTAGAGTTGTTTTTGTTAAAATGTGTCTGATACATGTAGCAGGTTAAATAATAAGAAAACATCTAAAGTCATTTCTCTAAGAAATGACACCTTATTAAACAGGTTGTTAATTATTTTTTTGTTCAATGCATCTAATAGTAGGTTAAATGATAAAACATCTAAAAATCATTTTTCTAAGAAATGATACCTTATAAAACAGGGCTGCCTGTTACTGCAAGATATCAAATTTTGTTCAGACAGTCATGCTTATTTATAACATGTCATGACTGGTGAGCTCACAAAAAAAAAAATAAAAAAAAATAATAAAAATAAAAAATAAATAAATACATAGATGATAATAATAAATAAATAAATAAATAAATAAATAAATAAATAAATAAATAAATAAACATTTCTCTAGAAAAAAGTGAAAAGTATATGCTTTATCATTTAAGCATGGTATGCTAAATAGACTAAAAAAATTCGTTTTGCAAATATGTGTAATTAATATTTCAAGCAGAGATGCATAAAAATGGCTATGATATTAACACATCTGACTACACAAATCACAAATGGCCAACCAGTTTCCCCTAGTGGTAAATTCAGCTGAAAAGGTGTGAAAGTTACTGTACCACTTTTTGCAGCTTTAATTGAATCAAAACATAATCGCATTACTTATTAGATTATAAATGCTCCCTTGTTGTAAAGTATACATTTATAGGCATATTTTTCTGATTGCAATGTCAGAGCAGGAATAAAAACTAAATTATTTGCACAGGCAATGAGGGAGTCATTGTATGATAATATATTGGCAAGGAATCATGAGTTACCAAGCTTGCAATGTATTGAAATGATGCGCTTCTGGCTCTATTGATAACTATTTATCTATGTAAATGGATGTGTTTTGTTATATTTTTTTAATGTTCAGAAAAATAGCTAGAGACAATATTTAAATGACACAGAACTTTTTTTANGTTCAATGCATCTAATAGTAGGTTAAATAATAAAACATCTAAAAATCATTTTTCTAAGAAATGATACCTTATAAAACAGGGCTGCCTGTTACTGCAAGATATCAAATTTTGTTCAGACAGTCATGCTTATTTATAACATGTCATGACTGGTGAGCTCACAAAAAAAAAAAAAAAAATAATAATAATAATAAAAATAAAAAATAAATAAATACATAGATGATAATAATAAATAAATAAATAAATAAATAAACATTTCTCTGGAAAAAAGTGAAAGGTATATGCTTTATCATTTAAGCATGGTATGCTAAATAGACTAAAAAAATTCGTTTTGCAAATATGTGTAATTAATATTTCAAGCAGAGATGCATAAAAATGGCTATGATATTAACACATCTGACTACACAAATCACAAATGGCCAACCAGTTTCCCCTAGTGGTAAATTCAGCTGAAAAGGTGTGAAAGTTACTGTACCACTTTTTGCAGCTTTAATTGAAGCAAAACATAATCGCATTACTTATTAGATTATAAATGCTCCCTTGTTGTAAAGTATACATTTATAGGCATATTTTTCTGATTGCAATGTCAGAGCAGGAATAAAAACTAAATTATTTGCACAGGCAATGAGGGAGTCATTGTATGATAATATAGTGGCAAGGAATCATGAGTTACCAAGCTTGCAATGTATTGAAATGATGCGCTTCTGGCTCTATTGATAACTATTTATCTATGTAAATGGATGTGTTTTGTTATATTTTTTTAATGTTCAGAAAAATAGCTAGAGACAATATTTAAATGACACGGAACTTTTTTTTGNCTATTGATAACTATTTATCTATGTAAATGGATGTGTTTTGTTATATTTTTTTAATGTTCAGAAAAATAGCTAGAGACAATATTTAAATGACACAGAACTTTTTTTATAAGTGACAAAATTAGAAAAGTGATTGAAAAGGGTGAGTTAAAAGCAAATTCATGTTTCATTTAGCTATTATTTTTTGGCGTGATCTCATTGGAATATGAGAGCCTTCATCTTTTTTAACCATATTCTCCTGAAAACTACCCATTTTGCTTCTTTGTTGGGCTTTTATAGTTTCTTCTACACTCAGTTCCTGTTTATCAGCTATTTTATCCATTAACTGCTGATCCTTTGTTTTTTTCAGCAGTTTCTCTGGCTGTGCTAGGCCAACTGAAGAGGATACAATCTCTGTTGTTTTGCCTTTCTCTTGCTTTTGTTCATGTTGGCCTTGCTGTGCCAGTTGTTGTCCTTGTTGTCCCAACTGTTGCTGCTCTCTTTGTAGACCTTGTTGGCCCCCTCCTTGCCCTTGCTGTCCAAACTGATTTCCCTGCAGTGAGACTTGACTTCTGCCCTGTTGGTCTTGCACCCCTAAATTTTGATGTTGACTTTGTTGCCTAAACAGTGATTCCTGTTGGCCATATTGCAACTGCTGCCCTTGCTTGCTGACAGATTGCTGTTCTCCATACTGCAGGCCTTGCTGCCTTGGGTTCAGTTGTAGGGGCTGCTGTCCATACTGCTGGCTCAGCTTTCCTTGGAGTTGTCCTATGGGTTGTTGACCCAGTGGCTGTTGTTGTCCTTGCTGCCATTCTTGTTGATGGGATTGTACACGTGGCTGTGCATTTCCATTTGTCTTCCCTTTAATTTCCATGCCATCATTGATTAAAGCAGTTGCTAATTGGTTGCTTCCTGGAGTAACAAAGGGTCTCTTGGACCAGTCCATCCGCTTCAAGAGGCCTTCTGTCTTCTGGTAGACTTCTTTTACTTTCATCTTTATAGGACTGACATATTCTTCCAACCATTCCAAACTGGTCTCGCCAGGAAACATTGCTGACAACCCAGTTTGCATTACTTTAGCCTGCTGGCTTACATTTGCAAGAAGATTCTGAAACATGTTCAGAATTTTCCCCACCTGATATGGACTAGCATATCCATGCTTGACATTATAATCTGACAGCCACCCTGCAGCGAGATTACTCACAATGTAATCATATTGAAGTCGGGATTTATGATATTCTTGCAAAATGGTATAAATCTTATTCCCTGGAAATGTGCAAGATATGTTAATTGGTGTGTTGTACTTAGCTGGCAATGAGAGTGGTAAAGTAGCATTACATCCCAGTGATTCAGTGACTGTTTGAAGTTCCTCTTCTCCAAACCCACCATTCTTGAGTGCTGTGAGACAGACAGCTAAAGATGGCAGCCCTGATGGAAGAAGCTCACAGAGAACACCAAAATGATCAAAGCGTTGCCATCCAGTCAGAGCCACACCTTTAAGATTGAGCCCTGTCTGGACATATTTCTTCACAACTTGCATCCAGCTGAAGTGGTTTCTCAAGTGGTAGCTAATATCAGTAATATATTGATGGGGACCAGTGGCACCCTTGAAGGAACTTGCAATCCATACATTCTTAAATACCTCTGCATACTTGGACCATATATCTGGTGTCACCCTGGACTCAACATGGGGGACATAGTTCCAAACCATTGGTTCCACTACTTCAGCCAATTTGTATTTCTGCAAGATTAAAAAAAAATAATAATAAGTGGGAAAAACAGTAGTAACTACAACATCAAAGACAATGAAAAAGATAACTGATACATGTAGATGTAAGCTGCAACTTACTTATATCATCCAACCTCATTTTTTCTTTCACTCATTCTGTAGCTTGCCTTACCAATGAATTTCTTTATACTTTACCTCATAGTATCTTCATCATGACAAGGCTGATTGACAAACCGTGTCTTTAAAAGGGTTAAAGAAATTCCAAGTTCCCAAAAGGAAAGGGAACATCCCATTCTGGGGTCTAATGAAGGGGTTAACAAGGTGTAAGTGTAAACTGTGGCCCATAATAATAATAATACACATAACAACACATCTCATGCTAAACACCAATGATGTCAACATCCAGATGATAACCCCAGGCTTCTCTCATTAACCTAAATGTGCAGAAAATAAATGCAAATGACTAAAAATTATTTGACTCATGTTTCGCCTCAGAAAGTGTGACATTATTTTTTAATGCATTATTTCCCAGTTGCTTTCACTGTCACACATTATATCAATTTTAAAATGAAAAAATCAATGTACAGTACTACACTACAATTTCAGGATGACAGAAATAGTAAAAATTTATATATGAAACTATATATATTGGTATTTAGAAAGAAGATATGCTTCAACCATGAAATAAGTCATTCAAACCACCTCACAGACAAATTCACATTTTTACAATAATACCAATGAAGGTTACCTTGAGAGTGGTTGTATTAATCTTCCTTAGCATATCATCCCACATGATGGGCTGAACCTTGGGAGCCATTTCTTTGAGACTTGTGGCAACATCTACAGCATGTTTGAGAAACAGATCTGCTTTGGTTAGCTTTTCTTTGACCATATGCATACTGCACTGTTCTCCCATACCTACAAACACATCTCATGGTTTAAGTGGTTCATCAATAATTTAAAAAAAACCCTGTTTAGTGAGTTTTAAAGATAAAAAGGTGCCTAAATCCTGCCCAAATAAGAAACGCCTGCTGCATGGATCACCAATTCTGAAATTTGCTTACATCAGATGTAAAAGCATCTAAAATTATTTTCTCTAAAGCTGCAAAAAACAATCTTCTCCATCTAAGATCCCATTTCCAGAGATAAGATCGATCTACTTTAGATCGACCTAACTCCCTGGGGGTTCACGCTAAATAGCTGTCAGCCGAGTGGACATGAAAGTTAATTACCCCCTTACAGCTTGTAGTAGGCGGGACTGACATTTAAGCCGGATTATCTGACAGTTATCAAGTGAGACTCCCCGCGAGGATAGATCGATCTAAAAGCTCTGGGTATACAGCCTTATTCACCCACCCACACATGAAAATGAAATCTAAATGTACTTTAACTGAAGCAATCTAACATAATAAAAGCTAAAATAAACAGCTCTTTTAATACACAAAGATTAAAAAAATTAAGATAAAAACTTTACCTAAATGATACACTTCATCTGAGCCAATATGTAGATAGGAGGCATTGGGATGAAGTGTCAACACTTGAAATAACATTAGTTTGATCAACTGCATTGCCTGGGAATGGCAAGCAGATATTGCTAGGGGCATGTTGGAGACTTCCCTCAGATCCATAAACTTTTTGTGCTTTAATACAAACTCCATGTGACCAAAAGTCTGTATCAAAGGGATCACAACCAATCCATTTCCAGCAGCATATTTTTGTATTTCCTTTATGTCTTCAGGGGTGTATGCATAACCTGCTGGTATTTCTGACAGGACACCAGAGTATGGAAAAGTATCTTCATACTCTATAAGTAGTCCATTTGCTCCCCATTGCTTAAATAGTGGAAATATCTGCTTAAGGTAAGTTAACTTTGGTGGTGCTCCTTTTAAATCTAAATGAACTAACACAAGTTTTTTGTCAAAAAGATTTTTTAATCCTTCCTCTGGTGGTTGGAGTAAATCCGACACTGTGTTGATGCTACTTTGTTCTTTACTTAAAACTACTTCATTCCTTTCCCTAGGAGGGTTGGACTTTCTCTGACTGGGCTGTTCTGCCATAGGAAGAGGTCCTTTGATTTGATTTTCACTGGCCCCATCAGAGTGAATATGTTTGGTTTCAGAAGGGCCTGAACTTCTTAAAGGGCTTAGGCTTGTTAAATAATTATTTTGCTGTTGCAAAATTCCCTGACCGAACAAACCACTTCTTCTACCATTGTTTTCAACTTTCAAAAAAGGATGTTGTCCGTCTCCTTGTCCAAAATCTTTACTGAAGCCTTTTCTTTGAAAACTGTTACTGTTGTCAAAACTTTCTATATCAAAGTGGCTTGACTTACTGTCTGATTTTGAAGATTTTAAAAATTTTGAGAATCCTGCTACTGTTCCATCCTGTTTCACATCTAAGATCCTATCCTTTGCTGAAGACCATTGTAAATAAAAGTGGACCACATAAATAATTATGGCCAATGCTACCCCGATAACGACAAACCTCAATGGACCACGAAGCATTTTTCTTGTTGAATCAGTCATCTGTAGGCTGTACTTCGTGAAAATGGGAGAATGGGGTGTTCCTAAAAAAGACATACAGTAAATAATTAATGGTAAATGTTGTGCAAATATGCTGGCAAATAATGCTATAAATCAATAATACCATATACATTGTATAACAGTTGTATAAAAAATCACAAGCAGGCAAATGCAATTTGTTTTTACCCATTTGTACTATTGCCATAATGAGACTTTAGAAGTGACCTTCAAAATCCTTGTGAAAAATTTATAATTCTCTAATAGTGATAAAAAACCCACATATTAATGTATGACTGATTTCCCATACCTAGGTTGGTGTAATATAACAGGATTGATCTATCTCTGAGAGGTTTTTCGCTAAATTGCTTTCAGCTTAAGCGACACAGATATTTAGATCGATCTATCTTCCTAGGAGTCTCACTAAATTACTATCAAACTAACCGGCTTAAACGTCTGTCATGCCTAGTAAAACTGTTAGGGGGTAATTATCTTTACCCCTATCTGATTCAGTAGGGGTGACAGACATTTAAGCCTCTTGAGCTGACAGCAATTTAGCGTGAACTCCCAGGGAGTTAGGTGGATCTATCTAAGTATGGAAACCCAGACATAGATGTCTGGCATGCCTACTGAAGCTGCTAAATGATAGTCAATTACCCCCTAGTAGCTTCAGTAGACATGACAGAGATCTAAGCCCTTAAGCTGATTGCAATTTAGTGAGAATCCCGTAGGAGATAGATCCACAGTTAGTACGACAAGGTCTGGGAATGGTCCTTAAGTTGAGGGAATGTGCATTCTTTCTACCCATTATGACTGGGGGTTAGGCACTGTGTTCTGCACATGGAAACTACATAGGCAAATTGTGCTTGCTCATTGGGTGTGTTAGAGCGCATTCTCAACGAATTAAGCCAGGCTTTACAAAGCCGGTGACCTAAAAATGGCGGACGTACATGAAAGAAAAACCGCCTAATCTTTTAATAGTCTCTCCGCCTCTCACACGCCTCCCCACACGTCGTCCCTGCGGGGTACAGTAATTAAATCTCGGCTTCGAACATTAATATTTCCGTGAATATCTCTGGTGATATTATCTCCGTAGATAGTAGATTCATTGCTGCTCTACGGGCCAAATTATTCCTTTTTCGTCTCTGTTTTCAAAGATAATAGAACAGAAGAGCTTTTTTTCTTCGATCGCCTTCAGCCGCCATGCTTTCTTCACCACGAGTTTAACTGATGAGCATGCGCACTTAATATTTCTCAGGTAGCTTCCGCATCACGAACGGAGACGCGATTTAATTACTGTACCCCGCAGGGACGACGTGTGGGGAGGCGTGTGAGAGGCGGAGAGACTATTTCTTTCATGTACGTCCGCCATTTTTAGGTCACCGGCTTTGTAAAGCCTGGATTAATTCGTTGAGAATGCGCTCTTAGGAGTGCAAATAATTGCCTCAATTTACATGCTCATGGTACCCTTACCGCCGGTCGTGAGCATGTAAGGCCGATCGAAAACTGAGACAATGCAATTAACCCCTTTCCACTTGCTTATGGAAAAGGTTATGGGGAAAACTAACATTTGTTTTGGAAGAGGACCCACAACCACTGCCTTAGCTTTTGGCTTTATATCCTAGGAACTCACAACCACAGCCACCACACTGGATCCGCCTATGGACAGTCAGTGCCTCAGCGTAACGTCATAATACCCCTCTAACATAATTCATTAGAGAGCTTTCGCACCTGCACGTTTAGGCGACCGACTACATTTAGCTATCCGTAACCGTAAAATGACCATCGTTTATTTTTTCGTGATTTCGCAGAAAGACCCGGTTAGCCTTTACGGATAGTCGGATTGTACAATAGCTGAGTAGGCTGATACATGTTTTACGTGCTGTAAAGCCTCGGTCACAACCGGACGCATGAATTTCAGGATCGTACGACCCCTGCGATTTTTGGGTGTTGCGGAGGCCGTGGAGGTTGTAGAGGTATAGGAAAGTCTGCCTTACGAGTCGCAAGGGCCACATGAGATGTCCTTTCAGGCAGGGACGCTAATTGCAAGGAGCGATGGTCGTGGAAATTGTACTCATTTTTTGAGTTTGTCTTGCTTCCTGTGTACGTGGCACACACTCACCACTTACGAAGGGAATGCAATGCGCGTCGAAAGTAGTGCCCTTTTGCGTCAGTTTTGCTTCACGTTTGTGGTGACGTACTGACGGCGTACGTCAGTTTTGGTTCCTGTTCTCCTCTTCTTTCTTCTTCCTTCTCCCTTTTTTCTAATATGTAAGCTTCTTTCTATTGCCTTTTGGAGGCATATTAGAAACTAAATTGAGTAAAAATTTTGAAAATTGCTGTACACGTTACATAGTCGATGTTAATTGTAAAGACGCAAGCTTTCGTCGTGAGCACGCCTTTTATACACCAGGCGTGGGGGTGACGCACGTGCGACGCATTCCCAGTAGGCTCTCGACGTTGTTCGTTAGTTGTGAGGGCGTGCGCCTTACTCAACACGCAAAGGGCACTTACTCCTTCATTGCTTGCGACGTGCGTCTTGCACAACGCGCGTCTCTCTTGCTAACTCCGTGCGAGGGGAGCAAGTTACGCTTGCGGTCTCGCTGTTCGCAGGCTATTCGTAGAAACTTTTGGACATGTCCAACATCCTCCGTACGTGCTTACGGGCTGTCTGCAAACTCGAAATTGCGTAAGAAGGCCTTGCGTGGGACGTGAGATTCTGCGCAAAATTTGGACGCAAACAGCCCGTAAGAGCCCGTGCGGCCGATTGTGACCGAGGCTTATGCAGAGATGTTAAATTAGGTCATACGCCATTGGACAGGTTAGGTAATTTTGGAATGGTCTTCCATACGCAGTTTATGGAGATCCAGCTTACCCCGTTAAACGGTATCTGTTGAGTCCCTTCAGAGGAGCAAATATGAGCACCGAAGAAGAATAATTCAACAGGAGAATGTCCCCTGTGTGGGAATGCGTCGAGTGGGAGTTCGGAAACTTTTATTGTGAAACTTTGCCTTTCTGGACTTCGAAAGAATTAAAAAGTTCTGTTGTCTCCTGTAGCCAAGCAGTACTTGGTAGGTGGTCTTCTGGCCAACTGCCATGCCTGTGTGTATGACAATCAGATGAGTCGGTACTTTTAACGAGATCCTCCCACCTTGGAGGACTATATTTAGCATGATCTGTACACGTGTACGTTGTGCGTATGGAAAATTAAAGAGTAAAATGTAAAATTCATACAAGCAAACATTTATTAAGTGAAATCTTGAATAAAAAACTGTTTTAACAAAGATTCAGCCCATGTGTATCTTGTAGGCAGCAAGAGCCTAGTATGTCAATTCAGTTTTTCTTCTTAACCAAAGACATAATCATCTTAATCATTTGTTTGCCTTTCTTAATTTTAGCTTCTCGCTCTTTCTTTTCTAATTCAAAATGTTCTTTCTCGAAGGCCAGCTTGTCTTTCAGGTTACTGACGTAATCTGCTGGTGAATCAGTACGGCGCTTCTTAGTTGGCTGCATGTTATCGCAATTTTCAGCTGAAAAAAATAAGCGGGTCACCAATTAATGCAGCGTCAGTTTTTGTTACTGATATAATAAATATTAATCAATTTCATGTAAAGAAAGATGTGCTGTCCTTACTTTTATTTATAATTCATTTATTCAAATACACAAGAGAGGCTCTTTCGAAACAAGGCTACATAAAATTTGCATTAAAAGTCAAAGAGACGCCCTGTCAACTAAATGAGAAAATCGAGCTACTAGTAGTATCTTACTAAACGGCACTTACCTTACGGATATCCTGCCTGTTATGCGTCAAGTGCAGACGGCTAGTCTACAGACCACTTATAAAGGCATGTGTACTCGTAACAACTGCTCACAAAATGATGACCTAACAGTCTTATAATACAATCAGTCACGCGTGCGGAAGGCAAGTTCTGACTGCCTTGTGGTCAGTGGAAAATGCCTTTTTTTACGGATATAACCTATATTTCAATAGTAACAAAAACATAGACACAAATAACAGAGACAACATGTTTCACATATATTGCAAAAAATAAAATGCCCAATATAATTTTAGCAGAGAAAGGCTTGATTTCATAAAATTGTGCTGATTTGGCAAACCGTTTTTCATTGACGGGTAGCAATCAAGCTGCGGATAATGTTCTCTCTAACCGTATGTGCACACGTCACTAGACAGCAAAACATGATGACCTAAACGTAGTCGTTCGCCTAAACGTACAGGTGCGAAAGCTCTCTTTTATCTACTATCTACTACGGTTGATATTCATACAATACTTACTTTTATTAAATAATGCAGGCGATAACAAAATAACGCCTTATATAGCAAAAGAGAAATGGACTAAAAGGATGCCATAATTAACTTTGCATGCACATTTCCCCTAGAACTTTTTCTCTTATTTAATTACCCATCACCGTCAATACCTGCGGGCCATTTTGTGCAACGGAAGTACTCTTCTTCGCCCGGAGATCCAAATGAACTTTAACCTTCGCGGGGAATGCAGATAAGTAAAATCATAGAAGTAGAGAAAATGGAATGCCAACTTCAAATCTCGCAGGCCGAGCTTGTGACCCCGAGAGTTGGGCGAGAGTTGGGGAGTTTCACTTCCGGTTTCCATGCCGCTGCATTCAACTCACGCTCTACATGTTTCAATAACTACTATTCATAGCGACTAGAGCTAGTTTTTACGATAATGTGATTTGCTATGGCGTAAACGGGAGTCTGGACATTCTAACTGCAGTTTTTATGGTGTGAAAACGGAATCATTAAAACCCAAAGCGCTTTATTTGGTGCGTGTGACAGAGTGTATTACCGAAGTCGAAGATAACACGGAATATAATTTAGCAATGTAAGTAATAACTTTTGTATTTTAATACAGTATTGTGTTTTTAAGCGTAAATTTAAGGAGTGAGAGGCTCATTCATGATATGATCTGTCCTTGAATACGACGGTCGTCTGACGCCGATTGTTTTCCGTTTATCCCTCAAGTGTCCATGTACGGTCTTCGAGAAATCTGTGAACTAAGTGTCGTTATCCAAGCTGTTAATAAAAGCACAGAATATTTATACATATAAATATTACATATTTAGTTATCCCCTTTTCATTTTATGCATTTGTACAAGCAAAATACGAACATGTTTAATAAGAAAAAATGGAAAGATTCAAGTCTTAATTGGATTTGGCCATACCACCAGAGAATCATTGCAACACTAAACTATATCAGTTATAGCTGGCTATTACTCCTGGAGATATAGCTTCAACATATAATTAAGATATACCTGACTATGTAGGTCAAATAATGACAATTTATTATAAATGTAAATTTTCATTCTGTTCTTTTGAAGGGTGTCGGGAAGGAGCTCTGTTGTGTTGTTTTATGCAGTGCCTCTTCACAGAAGTGCAAGGGTCTTTCTTTTCACAGCTTGCCTAAGGTAAAATTGAAGCAACACAAAATAATAATCAAGCAAACCTTTTTATTATTATCTCTTTTGCACCTTTTCACAGGGGAATAACTTCTTTCACAATAATTATATATAAAATGACAATTTATTAAATCTCATAATGTTCAATATTTTACACCTTCATATGCCAGCTTTTGATTCCACAAAGAAACTCAGACTCCCATTTCTAAGGCGAGTACAAGAATTAAGGTGGTACATGTATCTTTTCATATCCACAGGAGTGTCTGAGGTTTCAGACAAATGGAGAAGTCAGCTGATCCATTGCATCAACAGATGTGACAACAACTTCAATCCAGAGAAAGTCAAGGTCTGTTCCAGGTATTTTGAAGCACTGTTTCATTAAATGTATGTGTACATTCAGGCTGTATAATTGGGGGATGAATATTATCTCATGAAAGTTTATTGAACTCGATTGAAATGAATTAACATCCCTTTCACCTCCTTATTACAACTTAAATTCAACATTGCTGTTTGCTTACCAAATGAGGACTTGTGTCTCGGTTTCATAGCTTTATTTTTTACATCAGACATTTAGCAGTGCACACATGTATGGTGAAACTGATTGTAGTTACATACAAATTGAGACTATCCTTACTTTAAAATAGAAATCTATAAATAAAGAAATGTGCATAATAAGGGCAGAATTTGTACATTTAGCATGTTATGTAGAACTAAAATGGCAGTCTGGAATAACAGAATTAGAGCATTGGAAAAATGTATCTGTATAGGAAATTTTTTCCTAAATTTTTTTCATTTCCATCAACATAGGCTGCATTTGTAGTGATAGATGCAAGTCTGCCTTGTGACTTAGCAGCCTGCAATGTCTGCTTCTAGCTGTGTACTTTTATCTCCGAGTTGACTCAGTTTTTCCTTGTTATCACTTCCCCTTCATCTATGTTTCAGTTTGCTGACTACAAAAACCACCAATCATAGTGTTTGATGTCTACCTCTGTCCGTTTGATGGAATCGACAACATTTTCTGCACTAGTAGGGCTGATGAAATGTGCATCAAGGACTTAACTGAAGATCTCAACTGCCAACCAGACTGCTGTAATGTCTTGTATGCTGGTTGTAGCAGTGAAGATAGCTGACTGGGATGCCTCTCTGTTCAGCCTGGAGACCTTGGACTTCTTTACCAAACAGGGAGATAAATATTGTCCGAAAAGTTTGCAGAAACCTGAAACTAAATTAGAACTGTATGCTAGTGATGCACGTTTTTTAAAAGTACTAATGGCAGAGTACAACTAATTATGTCTGACTCCAGATTTTGACATATCCAAGAATATTGCTGTTTGAGAAATCCATTTCAATACGACATCTTTATTTTTAACTATGGCTATGTGAAACATTGGCTTTTAAATGTATACTGACAGTCAATAAAATCATAGCATTTATTTATCAAATAATATTTTAAGTTCCTTTGGCACATTAAGAAAATGACAGTTTTCATGTGAAATATGACACATTATTCAGTCACACATTTCACTCTTTTATGACCAAAAGAGACTTGGAATCGATTCTCGTTAAAAAAAGGACAAGAAAGTTTTCTGATGCACTTTCACTGACTGTCACCATATATTAAAGAATAATACATAGTATAACATGCACAAGAGCTGAGAAAAAATCGAGTATGCAGGCAAGAAAAAGTTACCATTATAATAAACTATGCAGGCAAGGAAAAGTTACCATTATTAAAAACAGGTTGAAATACTATTGTGATTATCAACCCAATATTGCATTTTCACTTTTAAATAAATTAATTGCACCAATAGTATTCTATGGGTGAGATGTATGAGGCTTCAAACTGTGTGAACAGGTGCTGATATTATTTAAGGAAAATTTAAGGTGTAAAATCAAGCACTTCCAAATTAGCTATCTTAGGTGATGGCATCAGATAACCCATGGTTTGAAGCTAAGAGTAAAAAAATAATTTAATAATAATAATAAATAAATAAAATTTAAAAAATAATAAAATAAAAAAAATTGAAATAAACAGAGGAGAAAAATAACAAACTATAAAATGCTTTTAAAGATAGATGAGGCATGATGTATTACATGGAAAACAAATAAAAACATTTTTATATAGTTTTGGAAGTGCGTGGTATAATTAAGGCACAGGAAATAAATTATTTTTTGGATTTCTTGAATATTAGACTGAAATATTACCATGTTCAAAAGTGTATTAAACAAATGCAAAATATTTCCAAACTGAAATCATTGTATTTTCTAAATGTTTCAGCTGAAGATGCTTTATGTATTTATATCTGATTTCTCTAAATTTCACTGTTCTTATCATATACTGATGATTGATCAAAGTAGACAAGAAAACATTCCATAGAAATATAAAAATTTTATATGCAGGTCAAGAGTAAAATTCATTTGCTATTTATTGTTATTANGGTACTTAAATAAATAAATAAAACTGAAAATAAAATAAAATAAAAACATTGGAATAAACTGAGGAGAATTAGAATATAGCAAACTATAAAATGCTCTTGAAGTTAGATGAGGCATGATGTATTACATTGAAAACAAGCAAAAACATTTTTATATAGTTTTGGAAGTGTGTGGTATAATTAAGGCGCAGGAATTTTTTTTTTTTTTTTTTTTTTTTTTTTGGATTCCTTGAACATTAGACTGAAAGATTACCATGTTCAAAAATGTATTAAACAATTGCAAAATACCTCTAAACTGAAATAATTGCATTTTCTAAATGTTTCAGCAGAAGATGCTTCACGTATTTGTATCTGATTTCTCTAAATTTCACTGTTCTAATCATATACTGATGATTGATAAAGGTAGACACGAAAATATTCCATACAAGTATAAAACTATTTTATATGCAGGTCAAGAGTAATCATTTGCTATTGTTATTATGTATTCAGTAACAGCTGTTATTGCTACTATAACTGATACATAATTGGAACTTTGTAATTTTGATAAAAGCCTTGAAATACTGAAATAAATATATTCTTTAACAATGTACCTTTTGAAGTGTCCTTTTGCATATTTATAGCTGCTGTATGTCAACAGAATGCTGGATCCAGCTTTTCCAGGGATCGCTCCACTAATTGTGAGATTTCAGTCACCTGAAGTAGTAAATTTACAAAAGCACTGTCAACAAATTATTTTTGTATTTGTATCATGTTTCATTATTAATGTAAATGCATAATATCTAACGAAAAGGAATGTACTGAACCAATTTCCATGTAACTATACAATGTTTAATTATATAAAAATGTTCTCAAACAAAAAAAAATATTCAGAAAGATGGTTATTTTTATTTATTGCAACATACTAGGGTGGTGCTACTGGTTGCGTGGTGCTCTGTACGGCGAGTTGCAGCATACTGAATCTTTCTTCAAAATCATCCTGTAAACAGAAAATTTACTTAAAATTTTGGAAAAAATAACTTACAACAAATACAAAATTTTAATGATAATGAATGTGAGTAGGATTTAACTTAATGAGGTGATTTAATATCGGTAGAAAAAATTATTGGGTCGCCTTTTCCTTGGCAGGAAAATTGCTAGCAGCCTTGTATTTAGTTGTAAACAAAAGCATTAAATATCAAATTCCCTAGTTAAGGGACAGAATTTTATTTCGACTTTTTTCAAGTATGATGTGCAGTCAAACTACAGTTCACGGCTAGTTCGGACTAATATTCCGTTGCTATACAGATATATCATTACTTGATCACGACAGGGAAAGTAAAACTCTGCCGGCTGTCCACGTGCTTTGTGTGAGATCGCTCGATTATCGTCGATTTTATCCACATGATGCAATCCAGCTTCGTTTAATCAAGCTAAGAGACAGACTTACCTCCAATAATGTCAACTTCGAGGCCATTATTAATCAAATTGAACCAAAAATCTGTCAAAATGACGCTCAATTTGTCTTAGCACGCCTGCTCCCCATTCACATGTAGTGCAACGAAAGTTGACCGGAAGTAAAACTACCCAACTCTCGCCCAACTCTCGTGGTCACAAGCTCATAACACAGAGGGCAATACAAATCTCGCGGGAGTTGGCATTCCATTTTCTCTACTTCTATGTTTAAACCAAATGTCTTACGTACTTTACTAACACCACACTAAATCGCGTCTAATATGCATTAGCATAATTATCAGATCTACAAAATCACCAGTAATTTTATTAAGCCGAATGAAATTAATTAAATAATAAAAGAGAAATAAGTGGCGGATATGGAGTGGGGGAGGGGGGGGGGGGCAGGGGGATCCTGAGCATTAATATTGCACAAATCTAGGTATGATTGATGGCTAAGCAACGAAGGCATTGTTCGCCACTTCAAGAAGTCGCTTTGTTTACTCTACCCACCAATGGCCATTGACATCAAGTTGGTCAAACCGCGCACAACTGTAATGCAAAAACATCATGCCAATGCTGTTGCAGGTGGAAACAAGGAGCAGAGTGCAAAGGAATATTACAGAATTAATGTCTTCTATGCTTTCACTGACCATGTGGTGTCAGAGCTAGAAAGAAGGTTTGAACCAAATCATGCAGGTTTGGTAGCGGCTCTTGATCCTCACAATTTGGAGTCACTACAGCCACAGCATATTAGTGACATCATGTCCTACTATGGAAAATTTCTTCATGAGGAAGACAACCTAGAAGTTGAAGTGGAAAAGTGGAAACTGTTATTTAGTGATGTTCCTAAGGATATTCGGCCAAAAGATGCAGCAGCTGCTCTTATTTCCTGTGACCATGACTATTTCCCTGCACTTCGTAGGATCTTTACAATCTTCCTTGCAACACCAGTGGGCAGTGTTGCATGCGAGATATCATTTTCAGCCGTCCGTCGTCTGAAACTGTGGACACGCACAAGCATGGCAGAGGAACGCCTTAGCAGATTGGCTCTCTTCCTTGTCCACAGAGGAAGAAACGTTATTCCTGATCCTGGAACAATCTATGAAATGAAGTTCAATTGGCGTGTTGTGTTGAAAAAATGACTGTATTTATATCAAAATGAACCCACAGTTTCTGACTTCTGATTGAGCAATAAATAACTGTTAAAATGCACCAGAATGCAGTATTATACATGTACATACAGTTTTCAAAAAGTTTCCACACCGTGGGAGGGGGACACCCCCTCCCACACACACACACAAACCCTCGGGGGCTTCGCCCCCCTGGTGTCTGCTTACTGCCCCCCCTGGCATTTTGCTCAGGCTACGGCTCTGGCATTCAATTGGTCACTCAAAGAAATCGCAGTTATAGTTGGGTAACCTGCATTTACAAATCAAATATGTCAATTTCGTTTTAAGGCATGTTCTCAATAGCAAAACATCATATTCAATCCGTATGAATTTAAACACGTAATGTGTGCCTTTAATGCCAGGCATAATTAAAGAAGAAATGCACTAATTTTTTTTTCTATCATCTGTGCCTTTAATTCTTGGCAAAGGCAAATAACAAAAGACCACAGATGACGTTAAACCAAGCACTCTGGGAACGGCACCCTCTATTGTTGTTGTTGTTGTTGACACTGGCTTGGGCCGTGTCCAAGACTCCACTATTACAGTAATTGGTACTACAGCAATGCCTGCAGATTTTACTGTCACCACTTCCGGTGCAAGTATTTCCCTGCAGCTCCTGGCTGGTACATTGTGACCGGCTTATGCACCCGCGGCTGTATTTGAAGGCAGTGACGAAGGAACTGTAGAAGTAACTATGAAAACTGTGCGCCGAAGCTGTAGTCTGCAAGGAAGAACGTGTATAACCATTTTATGNCTACTTCTATGGTAAAATATTCAACATCAATTTAAAAAACAACGCTTCAAACTTGTGCTATTTCTGTAAAACGTTGTTAATCACGAAAATCGAAGCGCGATCAAGCACAGCAAACAGTAACAGCAAAACTATGCTTCCGGGTTTTTTTTATAGTAATGATTTCGCAAATAATTAT